CATCACTTAAATTATGATTTTTTTCTTTTTTTTGGTTCTTTACACTCATACCTTCACTCTATTTTAATAAGACCCTTATAAACTTTCTTTATGTGCATTGGCTTGCTGTTTTGGTTTTGTTTTTTTTTTCCTCTTTCATAACATTGGCTGAGAAGGATCTTGTGTGACACTTAATGAGCTTTTGTTGCTACAGGGACTGGTGGGTGGGCTGGAAGCTAACCCCATTAACTATCTCCCACTTTCTTAAACTTAAAGCACTGAAACTCAAAAGTATACAATAATTCTGTATTGGTCATATTCAGCTTTCCCTTCTTTTGTGGCATCCTGCATTCTGACTAATTCCTAAGGGCCATGCCAGAGGTCCCCACTGGAAGGCCTAATGCTGTAAATGAAGACACAATGAATTGAGAACTGGCACTAGGATATTCGAGATCAGTCCTATAATTTCCTATTGACACGCTCCCCAAACATCCAGATGGTCCTTTCATTTTATGATGTCTATATTTCTATGAATCAATTTTGTTTAGTATCATCTTCTCCTGCAAACAAAAGCCAAGAACTCTGCTGGCTCTTCTTTCACCTTTTCATCTCGCATAATGACACTTCTCAATTGGATCACCATGTTGATAGTTTTATCTTCCATTACATCAATTTTGGCTCCTGCTTCTTAAGCCTACTCTTCATGTATTGTGAGACTGTGCTGCCTTTCTTCTGATGCTCTGCCAATGTGATATTACACACCACCTGTGACTGGTGTGGTTGGCCATGGCCAGACCTGACCAGAGCAGGCCTCAGTGAGGACCAAAATGGAAACTAGGTCCTGTAGTTCAGGCACAGAAAAATAGAGACTACTCTTAGGCTGACACAGCAAGAATTTCAAGGCCCCAGCACAGAACATGAGCCTTGGTGACATGACATTCTGAATAGGGAAATTATTGCCTTCTGTAGTAAAACGAGTTGTCTCTGGATGCTGAATAAGGGGGAGGGAGGTGGGTGTAAAATACAGGAAACCAAACTTCTTAACTCTCAAACCTGGTAGAGATTTCCTTCTGTGTGGGATGCCAAGTCTACAGAACTTAAGGCATGACTGTGAGAGATACACGGGAGGTCGTCAGCAGTCAAGTCATCCCTGGTGTCTTTTTTTTTTTTTAGACGAAGTCTTGCTCTTGTCCCCCAGGCTGGAGTGCAATGGCACGATCTCGGCTCACTGCAACCTCCGCCTCCTGGGTTCAAGCGATTCTCCTGCCTCAGCCTCCCAAGTAGCTGGGATTAAAGGCGCCTGCCACCACCCTGGCTAATTTTTGTATTTTTAGTAGAGACAGCGTTTCACCGTGTTGGCCAGGCTGATCTCGAACTCTTGACCTTGGGTAATCCGCCTGCCTCAGCCTCCCAAAGTGCTGGGATTACAGGCATGAACCACCACACCTGGCCATCCCTAGTGTCTATACAAATTATTTACTTCCCAACTTTGACGGTGCTTTCATTCAGGGTCAGTGGTTTAGTTATCCCTAGTGTCTTTACAAATGCATCCCTAGTGCATTTGTATCCTTTTGGCTGCCAATCTGCTACTTTTACTTTGAGAGTAAACCAGAGGAGACATCACCTCAAAAGGTGGACCATACTTGGACCAGACTTCCTTGATCAGCCTCTTGTGACTGGAAATCAACTGTTCCTTTTTTATATTTCCACTGATCTATAAACCTCATCAGGGGGTCTGCAGGCAACATATCAAGGAAGGAGCTCTGTGGTAGGCTTTGCCTCACACTTCTTTTCACATTCATTTCCTTTCCCCATCTCCTTTGTTCTAATTTTAAAACCATTGATCCTGGGCATGTGACAGCATTGAAATGGAATAAAATCATTTATTCTTTCAAGAAATATTTTTTGAGCACCACACTGTGCCAGGCACTGTTTTGAGCAGGGAGGATACAGCAGTGGACATAAAGAGAAAAATCCTGCCCTTGTGGAGCTGACATTAGACAGTATGTTAGATGAAGAAAAGTGATATGGAGGAAATAAGCAAGAAAGGGAAGTACGGTGTGCTAGGGGTTCCCTTAAGTAGGATGGTCAGGGAAAACATCACTGAGATGGCGACATTTGAGGAAAGGCCTGAAGGAAGTGAGGGAGCAATTCATGTGTTACCTTAGGGAAGAGAGTTTCAGGTGGAGAGAATAAGAGGTGAACAAGTCCTGAGGTGGAAACAGGCTTAGGATGTGTTAGAGACAGCAAGGAGTGTCCTATATGGCGCCCTGCCCCACACCTTTGCTTGTGGGCACTTTGCACTGTCCACAAGCAATTGCAGGATAACTTTTATATACCCACTATTAGGGAAACAGAAGCCTAGGAAAGCCAGAGTGACATCATTTTAAAACCAACTCCGGCTGGGCACAGTGGCTCACGCCTGTAAATCCCAGCACTTTGGGAGGCCGAGGCGGGTGGATCACTTGAGGTCAGGAGTTCAAGACCAGCCTGGTCAACATGGTAAAGCCCCATCTCTACTAAAAATACAAAAATTAGCCAGACGTGTTGGTGGGTGCCTGTAATCCCAGCTACTCGGGAGGCTGAGGCAGGAGAATCGCTTGAACCCAGGAGGCGGAGGTTGCAGTAAGCCAAGATCGCGCCACTGCACTTCAGCCTAAGTGACACAGTGAGACTCTGTCTCAGAGTGAATGAATGAATGAATAAATAAATAAATAAATAAATAACCAAAAGACTCCATCTCGAGACTATCAAGGCACATTCCTTGCTGGTCACCCCCCACGGTCCTAAGATGTTTACAGCTAAATAAAAAGGTTTGGTAAGGCCTACAAGGACAAACTCCTACAACAACAGAAAGTTCAGTTGTCCCAATACCCAAAACAATATGTTTTCAAGATGTTTTGATGTACATACACAGTAAAACATCAAGGATAGTTTTTTTTAAATCAATAGAATAATAAATTTTGTTATCCTGTCTGCTCACTCACACATAAGTACAGCTTAATTTAGCCTTTGCATAGACAAGGACCCTATATATGAAAAACTTAAAGGTGGCATATTCTCCTTGCTTTCTGAGGACACCCTACTCTGTAATGGAGTCACTTTCAATAAGCTATATCTTCTCACTGTACTCTGTGACTTGCCTTGAATTCATTCCTGCATGAGATCCAAGAACCTCCCCCTTGGGGTCTGAATTGAGGCCACCTTTTTTCCAGTAACACAACCATGGCTCAAAGAGAAAGTCATGATTTGCTGAAGATCAAACAGCTTTTTAAAATTCACCCATAATGAATATTCTTTCTACTGCCTTCCATGAACGTTTTCTGTGATATCTCAAGCCCAAGTCCTGCTAGTTGTCTTCTAGATGAGGCCCCTGCTAGTTTTGTCTGTATTGAGTATAAATTAGCTGTTAACTGTATAAAATCCAAATTCAGTAATGCCAGTGGTATCCAGTTACTAACATCTCTCATCTCCCTTTTAAAAGCATTGTTGTTACAGCCAATAATAGTAATAATAATAAGAGGTGTCATATACTGAGTGCCTGCCATATGCTGCAAGCTTTACAGATGCTACATAATTTAATCACTTAACAACCCTGTGGGGTAAATATTATTATATATGTTTTGCAAATGAGGTTGCTGAGGCTCAGGAAGAATGAATGCAATGCCTAAGGTAATATAGCTAGTAAATGGTAGAGCTAGGATTTAAAACTGTGCCTGAGCCAGAAGCTTACTATATACTGTGCTGCTGGTCTCCCTAGATAGGTAGCTTCCTCAAAAATGTAGTGGCTTAGATCTAAGCTTTGGGATCATCTTTTGAAGGTGTGTCTCTTGAGAACTCAGGAGCTTTGGCTTCCATAGGTCAAATCACTATCTTAGACAGCAGTAAGGCTTCATTTTCCCTGATCTTTTCAGTGGTTTTAATTTAAATTTCTCTCTGTTCTAATAAGACCTTACTTGCCCTTCCTATATCTAGAACAAATGTTCTGTATTTTGAGAAATTGATCTTAGCTACTATCTGACCAGGTTCAGAAAAGTCTGTCTCTTATTTGATTACACAGCACCTTTGCTCTAGTGCTTACTTCCTAGCAATCCTGCTGACTTAACTTTTTCGTCCCTTTTTTTTTTTTTCCAGAGGTCTTTGTTAAATGACCTTCATTTTAGTGTTCTTCTAGGCCAATTCTAATTGGGCATATTTTTGCTGCCTTCAGATGGTCATCTTTTTTCCTTAATGCAGTTGGCATCAACTCCCACAATCACTATTTGGCCAAATAACCTTTGATATCTTTTCCCATTCATGTTCCCAAATTGCTTTATGAGTCATATTCAATTTTGGTCTTTCCCTCTCCCCAATCCATATCCAAAAGCAAATATATCATGAATAATATTTTTAAACATTCAACCATTTTCATTCTTCTTAAATCATTTTGCCTTAGGACACCCTCCATTACCACTGCCAGTAAATTAGCAGGTTTCAGTACCTCAATGAATGGACAACACCATATAGAAAACAAGTAGTCCTAACTGGGATTTTATTATCAAATTAAGTGTTTAATTCCCTGAGAACTTCTCAGGAAAACAGCAGTCTTGGAGTCAGAGATTTCTAAATTCCTTTTGTATAGCAAGAACCAAGCCTGTCACACCCACCAGGATGGCTATAATAAAAAAGAAACAGTGTTAGTAAGAATGAGCAGAAATTGGAATCCTCATACTCTGTTGGTAGAAATGTAAAATGATGTAGTCACTATGAAAAACAGTTTGGCAGTTCCTCAAAAAGTTAAACATAGAATTACCATATGACCTTGCAATTCCATTCCTAGGTATACACCCAAAAGGATTAAAAACAGGTATCCAAACAAAAACTTTTACATAAATGTTCAAAGCAACACTACTCATAATAGCCAAAAGATGGAAGCAACCAAGCATTCATCAGCAAATGAATGGATAAACAAAATGTGGTATAGTCATATGATGAAATATTATTCAGTGTCAAAAAGGAATGAAATATTGATAATTGCTATAATGTAGATGAACCTCAAAAACAGTATGCTAAGTAAAATCAGTGAGACACAAAGCGACATAGATTATATGACTCCATTGACAGAAAATGTCCACAATAGGCAAATACGAAGAGACAAAAGTAGATGAGTGGTTGCCTGGGTCTGGAGGTAGGAAAGTGGATTAACTGTACATGGGCATGAATGATCTTATTGGGATAATGAAAATGTTTAAAAACCAAAAGTACAGTGATAGTTACACAACCAAATTTACTAAAAAGTCATTGAACTGTACATTTTAAATGGGTGAATTTTATGGTGTGTAAATTGTACTGCAGTGAAGCTGCAGGAGAGAGAGAAAGAGAGACAGAGAGAGAGAGAGAGAAAGAGATTGAAGGCAAGCCCGGAGCCTGGCCAGTTGGCATTCTAGAGTTTTACTAGTTTTGGAGAACTCGAGATGATGTAAGTGAAGGGTACACTATCCAGAAACAAAACTGTAGCATTCTGAGAGGTGAGAGAGAGAAAAAAAGAAAGGGTTAAGAGGCCACGAAGGAAGTGGAAGAGTCCATAGATAAGTCTGCCCCCCCTCCACACCACGCGCCCTATTATCTTAAGTGTGGAATCTGGGGACATTTTCCAACAGGTTTAGGGGGAAAATAAAAAACAAAGTGGAATTATTCCAAATTTGGTCTTTGGAATTCTGGGACACCACTGTTGTGGTTTAAATGTTTGTCTGCTCCCAAACTCATGTTGACTTTTAATTGATGTGGGGCCTTTAAGAGATGATTAGGTGATGGCAGATCCATCATGAATGGATTCACGCCCTTATTGCAGAAGTGGGTTAGTTATCACGAGACTGAATTTGTAATAAAAGTGAGTTTTACCTGATTTCTTCTCTCTGTCTCACATGTTTGCTTCAGCCTTCTGTCCTTCTGCCATGGGATGACCTTCATCAGATGTTGGTGCCATGCTCTTGGACTTGTCAGCCTCCAGAACTATGAGAAATAGATGTCTTTTCTTTATAAATTTCTCTGAGTAACAGAAAATAGACTAAAACAATCACCTTTCTGAGTGCCCCCTCACCAACAAGAGATAATCATAACAGAAGAAAAATGGATGCAAGGCAGATCCAGGCAAAGAGAGGGCCAAGTCTCCCTCAGCTTTTACCTGGCATAAATGTATCCAGATATTTTCACATGCTCCCAGTGTAGGATATAGAAAATAGCTGGATGTTTACAGCCAGCAGGTCTCCCATGGGGCCGCTGCCATGAGGAGCAAGTTGACGCTACGGCAAGGGCTGCAGGTGGACGATCTAACTCTGGGGCTGGATGGAGGATGTGGTTGAGATTCAGAGGGCCTGAAAGGCAGACAAGGGAAGAGGTGAGTCTAAGTCAGCAGAATGGTGAATAACTCTGGGCCTAGATGAGCTGAGAGCGTCGACCTTGTATTTCACAAGTCCTGGACTTCATCATCAAATGTCAGAATAGTTCCCAATGACTGGGGAGGGCATTGTTGAGGAAATTACTGTAGAGGCCAATAAGGACCCACACAAAGATGTCCATGTCAACTCATTGCCTCTTCTCTGTCTTAGAGGGGAAGGAGGTAGGTGTGGTGAGATGGAATTCTAAAACACTGAGAAGTATCCAAAGGAACTCAGTTAACCCAGAAAAGACTATTTTTAATGGAAAGAGATTGATTTTCCATCATAATTTAGCATAGTAATAAGACATGTTGACTTAGTTCTCAATTGAGCACAATGGACCAAGGCCTGTACCTAACTGCTCACTCACAGTGCCCTGAAGAGTCTAGGGGACTATATCGGGCTCTTCGGAGCTCCATGTGAGCCACTAACGTTTATAACATTGGGGATTTAATCAAGATTTCCATAATGAAGCTCAAAGCCAGGAAGATCTGAGACTGGATTACATAGTTTTTAAAAACAAACAAACAAGCACCTTGTTTCTATTAACCAATGGAACAGATTTAGGAACCCAGTAAAAATGCCACATGCTTGAATCCACTTAATAAATAAACATTTAGTTCCCTCTAATCCAGTAGTTCCAAATCTTGCATCCATGGATGAACTTTGGGTGGCACATGAGTGCTTAAAAGGTTGAGTGCCAAACTGAGACTATAAACGTGTATGTGTGTGTTTGTAGATAGAGGTTTTGTAACTTTCATGAGTTTCCTAAAGAGGGAAAAAAATGGTTAACTACTCATAGAGAGGGCAGTGGAAGCCTGGGAAATGGGTAAGCCCAAAGAATGTGGGGACAGAGGAAGATCTCATGCAGAACACTAGGAAATCAACCAACTGTAAGATAAGTCAGATATTTTCACAAAATGATTCTCAAATCAGTGTCACATAAATTGGAAATGGTGTGACTGAATTTTGTGATGGGAGGTCATTGTTGTAGACTACTGACCTGGGGCTTATGGATGCACTTTATGAGGTATGTATACTCTCTGAAATGGGAGGTGAAATTTTCTATGTATGTGCATATAAGCATATTTCTGGGTAGGCAAGCTATTGTTTTCAAAGAATCTTAAAGAAGGTCCTTGACCTCTAAAAGGTTATAAACCATTCACTTTAACTTCTGGCAGTGACGGTTTCTTCCTATTTACAACTCTTATTTTTACATCTTTATGTAATCTCCTTCTTTCACCTCCTCCTCCTTTCCTCCCCATCTTGTGTCTTTCTTTCTCCACCCACTCCCAACTTTCTCTCTTTTCCTTACAACGCAATGAGGAAGACTAATGCAGTCCAATCTGAATATGAAAAGCAAGAGGAGTGAGCTCAAAGGGGTGATTCCAAGGAGATTAACAAACCTTTTGAAGTGAGGTCTAGCAGGTCTGCTCAGCAATTGAGTCCTTAACTGGCCCTCAGGAAGAAGACAGCTTGGGGAAGAAGCCATGGAAAGGAAGGCTTAGACTGACTATATAATTAGTATCAAATTAATATACAAGATGAGGTGTCAGCTCTTTGAATGTATAAGATGCTATAAATGAGGAAAGCCATTGTCAGAAGGAACACTTAATGGGCTATTTATCATTGTAAAGAAGGCAGGAGGAACTTACTGATGTAGAAGGGCCTAATCAAGGTCCTCCTTAAATGAGAATTCAGTTAAGGTTTAGACAGCACCTGTCTTCATTAGCAATATAAATATTTCTTTACTACATTTTGGAATTAAATAAAGAATAAGATCAAGTTTCTTCACTGGCTGAATAAGTAGGGATTGATTCTTACCTAGTTGTGTGGATGGCCCTTAGTCTTCATCATTCCCAAGAACCAATCATGAAGCATGAGCTACCATATGATAATTTTCACTTTTCCAGGACTTCTATCTTTCACAAAAGAAGCTGTCCTTGGCATCAGTGAGAAGTCTCCAGGAACAGACTGACTCACTGACAGAATCTTCTCAGAATAATCTGGTATCCAAATGATGTGTATTTAACACTATGCTAATTACTTTTCATTGATTTGATTCCCACAAAACATCTATGATGTAAGTATTATTACCATCTCTAATTGACTAGATGATGAAACAGTCTTAGTGATGACACATACATACAGCTGGTCATACACTTGTTTAAGAGGTAAAATGAATAATTGAAGTCAGGTCTGCCTGATACAACTTACAGGTTCTTCCTCCCAATCCACACAATCATTATGACAAAATAATGTGACTAAATTTAAGTATAAACATAACAATCTTTCAAAGGAGTCATCTTGTCTGACTCTATTATACTCTTATTGCTCCAAAAATTTTTAGAACTTCAAGAATGTCTTCGTGGTCTAAGAATAATTGTTTTGAATCTTCTTAATGGTGATAAATTTTATTTTTGGGGGGAATTAAAAATATCTTTATTGAAACATAATTCACATACCATACAATGAACTCATTTAAAGTATACAATTCACTAGTTTCTTTACTATATTTTTAATATGGCAAAACATATATAACAAAATTTGTCATTTAACCATCAAGGTGTACAATTCAGTGGCATTAACTAGATGACTGTATCATTTTATTTTTTTACTGTTATAAGTAATGCTGCAAATATACATCCTTATATATACTTTGTGCAAATAATTCCATAAGATAGAAAGCTGTCATCTGTGATGGGCCAGTGATAAAGAGTGATAAAAATGGGTTGGTCTTTTCCTAGGATAGCTACATTACCATTAAACATGATTGTTTCTATTTCAATAGGTTTTTGAGGAACAAGTGGTTTTGGTTACATGAATAACTTCCTTAGTGTTGAGTTCTGAGATTTTGGTGCACCCATCACCAGAGCAGTGTACACTGTACCCAATGTGTAGTCCTTTATCCCTCACACCTCTCCCACCCTTTCTCACAAATCCCCAAAATCCATTGTATTATTCTTATGTCTTTGTGTGATGGTGGTAAATTTTAATTCTTTGAGGGAATTTTTGGAAACCAGCAAAAAGTCATTCTATTGATTTAAATGTGATTAAGCTGGATAATAAAGTTTGGGCAGAAATAAGTTGTGTTTATAATGTAACATTTATTTTCTTGCATAGTTCATATATCAGCTCAGCAGCTAAAGATTTCATGAACTAATGAGTAGATGGGTATCTTGCTGTGTTTGGGTTTTATAGCAGAATACCATAGACTGGGCAGCTTAAAACAACCGAAATTTATTTCTTACAGTTCTAGATGATAAGTCCAAGATCAAGATCAAGGGAACAGCAGATTCAGTGTCTGATGAAGTCCTGCTTCCTAGTTCAGAGAGGGTGCCTTATTGTGTCTTCACATGGTGGGAGAGGCAAATGAGCTCTCTGGAGTCTCTTTTATAAGGGCATCAATCCCATTTATGAAAGCTCTGACTTCATGACCCAATGACCTACCAAAGACCACACTTCCTAATATCATCCCATTGGGGGTTAGGATCTCAACATATGAATTTTGGGGATCACCAACATTCAGTCTCTAGCAATGGTAAACAAATCTTCCAAAAGGATTACACTTTGACTTTGAAGGTTGATGCACATTAGAAAATACAGGTTCAGATATATCTGCTTTGTTCAATTTTTTTTAGTTATTTAGTGACACCATGTATCTCCTAGCAAGAATATCAGTTGGATTGACTCAAAAGTAACACAGGTGGTCCTCTCTTTAGTAGGTTTCATTTTTGTATCTTATAACTCATCCTCAGACTGGCATCCTTCCTAGAGATAAAACATCGCAAACACAGACTAACCATCAACCAGAAAGATTCCTGACAGCAATGTGCACAGTGAATACTCAAGAATAAATACAATTTAGGAGGAGCTCTTCATCTTATGTGAAGAAAAGAAACTCTGAATCTTTGCCCATTTTTATAACCTAATCTCTTTTTATAAAGTAAAACTTTTGGATGCATCTGTTGGGCAATAAATTTATTTTATCACTTTTCAACCACTTGCTTGGCCCACAGATGTATAACTTCTTGCTAATTTTAGAATCATCTGACTTTTACAGGCATGAAGAATCTATAATTAGGCTATACTTGATTTTTATACAACATTATGTACAGAATGAGACAAAATAAACTATTATAAAATAAACACTTATAATAGTTGGGTATAGTTTTATTGAAATAATCCAACTAAATCACACATTTGATTACAGCTAACGGCTTGCTTCTAGTCACAGCATGTACTTTTTCTCAATGTACAGCCTCTATATATTGTCTACCACTAACTCCTTAACTCCAAGCCAACATTTCCCACGCATACTCCTTTGCAAATACCAGACTCATATCCAACTATCTTTTGGACATTTCCACCTGGATGTCCACAGTGAAGGCTTGTTTACAGCTGTGCAGGTGGTATACTATATACCTCCCATAGGAAGGGGAGCCATTTACTTAGAATACCATATAAATACTGCCTCCAGGAGTTGTATAACACAACTCCCTTGTGTGCAGACAAAACACATCCAAATTAAACTTTAAAAAGTCCTTCAACCAAAATGACCTTATCTTGCTGAGTTCATTTTTGTTGAACTGATAGTGTTGCCCTTTTTCTGTCACCCAGCGTTGAAGTTTAGAAGTCTTTTTGAAAGTTCATCTTGGGCTCTACCTTCAATCAGTCACTAAACCAAGTAGATTCTTACCTTCAAGATGCTTATCAGGTCCATCTTCTGTTTTCCTTTCCCAGTGGAAAAACCCTGACTGTTCCCTCATGGTCTGGAATTATAGAATTGCAGATTTGAAAGCAATCATGGATTTTACGGATTCAGGCCAAATCACTCATTTTACAAATGAGGTAATCAAAGTCAAGAAAAGTTAAATGGGCCAGATGTAGTGGCTCAGGCCTGTAATCCCTGCACTTTGTGAGGCTGAGGCGGGCAGATCACTTGAGGTTAGGAGTTCGAGACCAGCCTGGGCAACAAGGTGAAACCCCATCTCTACTAAAAAACACAAAAATTAGCTGGGCGTGGTGGTGGGTGCCTATAATCCCAACTACTCAGGAGACTGAGGCAGGAGAGTTGCTTGAACCTGGGAGGCTGAGGTTGCTGTGCCCCGAGATGGCACCACTGCACTCCAGCCTGGGCAATAGAGTGAGACTCTGTCTCAAAAACAAACAAACAAAACAAGTTAAATGACTTGATGAAGGTGGCATATATAACAAGTTTAGTGATAGAAATGAGATCAGAACAGGAATCTCCTAGTCCTCCTGACCATCATTCTTTCACTATAAAGTGATTATGTCTTTGTTCACCTGGCTCCATCATCTATCTCCTGTCTTTTTCTACTTTAATTCATCCTAAAACCTATGGCCAGATCAATCTACATAAAATATTACTTTCCTCATAAACCTTTTATCTCTCCACATTGATTGTAAAGTAAGCACGAATTCCCTATTCAATGACTCAGAATGGATGCAACCTACATTTCTAGTCCAGTTTAAAAACAAAAAATGTATCAATATAATTTATTCACATTGATGAAGGAGGAAATTATATATTTCTTTCAAGACTATCAAAAATTTACTGATTTTCAATATTATGTATAATCAAAAAGAAACCCAGTGCTAGGCACGGTGGCTCATGCCTGTAATCCCAATGACTCAAGAGGCTGAGGCAGCAGGACTGCTTGAGCCCAGGAGTTGGAGGCTGCAATGAGCTGAGGTCACACCACTGCACTCCAGTCTGGGTGACAGTGCAAGACCCAAATACAAGAAAAAGAAAAAGAAAGGAAGGAAGGAAGGGAGGGAGGGAGGGAGGGAGGGAGGGAGGGAGGGAAGGAAGGGAGGGAGGGAAACCCAATTAGCCTCGGTTAATTTCCCAAAGAAATGAAAGCTTATCTTCACACAAAAACTGGTGAACTAATTTTTATAGCAGTTTTGTTCATAATAGCTCAAAACTAGAAACAATCCAGATGGCCTTTATCAGGTGAATGATTAAAATCTGGTACATCCATACCATGGGAGACACTCAACAATAAAAAGGAATGAATAATTAACTTGTAGAGCAGCCTGGATGAATCTCCAGGGAATTACTCTAAATGAAAAAAGTCAATCCAGAAGATCACATAGAGTATGATTCCATTTAAATAAACACTGAGACAACAAAATTAGAAATTGAGAACAGATTAGTGGTTGCTAGGGTTTAGAGATGGGGTAGAGGAGTGGATGTGGCTATGAAGGAGTCCCATGAAGGGGACCCTAGAAACAGTTTTGTATCTAAACTGGTCATTTGAATCTACACATGTGATAAAACTACATAGGCCTACATACACGTGCATACATGTGTATCCATGAGAACATAGAAAACTGGTTAAATTCAAATAATCTCTGTAGATTGCACCAAAATCAGTTTCCTAGTTTGATAGTATCATGATACAGGATGTTACCATGAGGGAAACTGGATGAAGAGTACACAGGACCTCTCAGTACATTTTTTCCAACTTTCTATCAATATAAAATTATTCCAAAATAAAAGATTTTAAATACATTAAAATATAAAGAGATTTTAAGCAAAGAAATAAAAAATCCTGACTTCTTAATTTCCTTTGGTTTTAACCATGAAACGTTGTTTGATCCTGCCCAGTGTGAGAAAATTTAAAAGTGAATGTGATTTAATGCCATCTCTCCAGTCAATGTGCAGGTAGTTAGAGTTTTTTCAATGATGAGAAGACCAGAGATTGAAAGGGGAGCTCAGTTTGCAGGTGAAACAAAGCTGGCTAAATGAACCAGAAGTCCATGGCGACCCCGACAGGATGTTGCAGCAAATTTAAAGATACTCAGAGTCAGTAAAAAGAAGCCAATGAAGACCTGACGAGGTAACTGCAAATATTTAAGGCTTTATACAAAAGGTACTTAATAATACTTCAATACTTGCATTTCATTAAGATTCTGCTTGTGAAGTCAGCCTGACCAAGGTTTGAGTACCAGCTTCCCATCATTCTTTGGATAATGTATTAAAATTTAACCCCTTTGAGGCTCCGTTCCCTCATGAGTAAAGTAGGGTTAGTAGTAGTATTCGCTTGTTTGGGGTGGCTGTGAGAATAAAAAGGAATAATGCATGTAAAATGTACAACGTATTTCCTGGAGCATAAGTGGACAATAAAGGATAGATATTAATTTTTCTGTATTTCCTAAAAAGGAAGGAAGGAAGGAGGAAACTTTTTAGCAAATGAGAAACAGAAAGATAATTCTTTAACTTGTTAAAGTTTGTATTTTTAAAAACTATAATAAATATTATAACAATGAATAAACTTCAGATTTATTCTCTTTGAGATCAGAAACAAGACCACAGTTCCCATCTATCACTGCTAACTTTTAACCTATTACTGTCAGTTATGGCCAATGATATAAAGAAAAAAATAATTAATGAAAAATGAAAGGGCCTGGTGCAGTGGCTCACACCTGTAATACCAGCAATTTGAGAAGCTAGGGTGAAGGATCGCTTGAGGCCAGGAGTTCCACACTAGCAACCCTGGGCAATATAGCAAGACCCTGTCTTACACACAAAAAAATTTTTAATTAGCTGTGTGTGGTGGCACATGCCTGTAGTCCCAGCTACTCAGAAGGCTGAGGTGGGAGGATCCCTGGAGTCCTGGAGTTTGAAAATGCAGTGAGCTGTGATTGCGCCACTGCACTCCAGCCTGGAAGACAGAGTGAGAAACTATCTCAAAAACAAAACAAGCAAAACAAACAAACAAACAAAACCCTGCAATTACTTGCAATAAAAATATAATAGTCTACCTAAAAACCATCAGCAACAGATTCAGCAGGCAAACTGTGGTATTAGAATTAATATGAGAGTTCAAGTTGGTTGCCAGATAAAATATCAATCGCCAAAAATAACTTCCATTTCTTCACACCAGTAATAATGTGCTAGAAAAGACATGCAAATGTGAAACTGTCACAATAGCAAAAAGAAATTACAAATAATATAAAGACAAAAGTAACAAATGCCTTTATGGAGAAAAATTCCAATAAAAGAATAAAATATTATTTAAATAAATGGAGAAATGGTCTATACTCTTGGATGGGACAACTTATTGCAAACATTCTCACCAATTTAACCTGTTTAATGCAATACCAATCAAAATTCCAGTTGAATTGTTTGAGGAACTTGATAAACTTTATTTTAAAAAATACATATATATATATATATATTTTTTTTTTTTGAGATGGAGTTTCACTCTTGTTGCCCAGGCTGGAGTGCAGTGGCACGACCTCGGCTCACCACAACCTCCACCTCCCAGGTTCAAGCTATTCTCCTGCCTTAGCTTCCCAAGTGACTGGGATTACAGGCATGTGCCACCACACCTGGCTAACTTTTTGTATTTAGTAGAGATGGGGTTTCACCGTGTTGGTCAGGCTGGTCTCGCATTCCTGACCTCAGGTGATCCACTTGTCTCAGCCTCTGAAAGTGCTGGGGTTACAGGTGTGAGCCACCGTGGCCGGCCTAAAATTTATATGGATGAATAAAGGTCTATGAATAGCTAAGTTAACCCTATAAAGGCAATGATGGAGTTACCTCAAGAATAATAGGCTAGCCCTACATAGTGGCATGTGTCTGTCGTCCCAGATACTTGAGAGGCTGAGGTGGGAGGACTGCTTAACCCAGGAGTTCAAGTCCAGTTTGGGGAAAATAGAGAGACCCTGTCTCTAAATAATGATAATAAATAGAACAAATGGAACATAATAGCAAAACAAATCAATGGAAGAAAAAGATTGGTAAACCAGCTTACTGTATGGAGAAAAATGTAATCAGGATCCTATCTAACTCCACATATAAAGATACTCTAGTTGGATTAAAGATGGAAATATGAACAGTAAAACTATAGTGCTAATAAAAGGAAATATAGGAAAATATTTTGTGACCTCCAAATCAGAGAGGACTTCTCAAAAAAGCTCGAGAAGCACAAATGCAAAAGAAAGCATTGATTATGTTGATAACTTTAAAATATCAAAGTTCTATTCAACTAAGGACATCACTGGCAAAATTATCACATGATAGAATTATAGAAGCTGACAAGAATTTTGAAATTTCAAAAACAAACAAGGAGTTAATATCTAGAATATACAAGGGCATTTTGCAAATCAGAAAGATAAAGCTAGCACACCCAATGGAAAAATGGATAGAGAATATGAACAAGCAATTTAGAGAATAAACTCAAAAAGGTAGCAGAAATATGATAAGGTGTTCAAAATCACTGAAAATCAGATATATAAAATTAAAACCGCATAGGTATCATTTCACACTTATTAGACTGGCAAAATTCTAAAAGTTATAAAATGACAAATGTAGGCATGTGGTAATAGAACAAAAGTTCTGTTCCATTGGTAGGAGTGTAGTCTGTTGCAGCCATTATAGACAGCAACTGATCTGTACACAGTCAAATTACCAATATGGCCAACAGTTTCACTAAGGATAGAAACCAAAGAGTCTCACAAAGGCCAATAAGAAGACACAGACAAAACATTCACGTCAGAATTGTTTATGGCAGCAGGAAGACAAAGGTAACCAGAAAGTTCCTCATTAGAAAAGTGGACAGGTAAAATATGGTACACACAAATGTTTCATGAAGTTCTAATGCAGCAGTTAGAAGCAACGCACTAGATTCACTTACCACACCTTAAATAGATCTTTAAAACATACTGCTGAGTAGAAAAGCAGGGCACAGAATGAGATACAATGTGTAACAGAATATCTTTTTCCTAAATTAAAACCCA